ACCTCCCCTTATTTGGCAGCTCCTTGGTCATTTAAAATGACATTAGAAAACAGTCGTCTTGGAAAGGCACAAGCCAAACTGAGTCTGGGGACATTTGAATGCCTCGAAATGCAGGAGGGAAATCACAGGAAGGAGTTTGGTGGCCCAGAGGTTGGTAGCCTCTTTACCTTCCTTGACCTTTAGAAGCACTCTCAGTAGAAGTGCTCACAGGGGTTATGTTATCATGTCGGTCAATGCTGGCTAGCACCAGAAAATCATTCTTGGAAGACCTGCCTTGTAGAGGCTCCTATGAATGACTTAATTGACTCACATTGCCTGATACACTTACTAGTAAGTGTCACTATCTGTAAGGTATTCTTCGTGATCTCTAAATCATGGGAAAAGCAAATGAGCCTAGTATCTGAGTCATCTCAGGTCCAAATTGGCATAGGCAGCAATTAAATTAAGTCTGAGTGTCCCATTCCAGCCTTGAATGAATTTTTCTATACTGAAAAAAATCAAGTCTCTGGCGAGGGTAGAACAAAGACTAGGATGGAAGGATTCATAATGATCAGGGTTCAGCAGCATGGGTCAAGCTATGTGACAGAGCCTGCAAAATATTTGCACGTTATTCCTGGCTCTAACCGTTGCAGCGAGACTCATTGCCCTGTTTACACTACACTTTTGCCCTCAACGTCTCACCATTGCAACCACCAATACCACTCAGCAGTGGGACCAGCAATAGAAGCCCTGTTGCACACAAAGGGCTAGTTTATACTCCATTGAGAGTTCGGTTTGTTCTCTCTCTTTCCTGTGGCATTCTTTTAGGACTAGGATATTTGAGGGACTCGGGGTTGGATAGCAAGTGTTTTCTCTGCGTGCATCTCTTGTTAGTTGCATGGCTTCCTTCCATTTGAATAATTTCTTGGGAGGTTCTCTTGTTTGTTTAATTGAATGCTGGGCTTGATTTCCCTCCTTAAATTTACCTCGGTTTGATTACCCAAAATCTCATCCTGGTTTATTGGACAAAGTTTGCACTGGCTGTATTTTTACATGGAGTAATTATTGCATGTGCCATTGAAGAAGGGGTGTGGATGTCTCAACAGCGTAGTAATGGGCTTTAGAGCCTTTCTTCTCTAGGAAACCAGTTCAGCTCAAGCTCAGGAGTGATCGAAGGGTATTTCTCTCTACAGTCTGTTTGGTGGCCCATGTACAGTAAGTTAGTTCTCTCAGTCCTGCTATTCCTAGACAGGTGTCAATGTCACCAAACCATCCCTCTAGGTGGAAGGAAGGACAAAGATTGAATAGTGCAACTTGTTGTCCCCTGGGATCTCGAGAGATGGTCACTTCAGGTTAGGGTTAGGGGGAGATACATGGACTCCCATGGTGAGCAGCTGTCTGAAAAACAGGCGGACACTGAGATTATATCTACACTACAATACAAAGCCCACGGCACCAAGTCTCAGAGCCCAGGTCAATTGACTCAGGCTTGCAGGGTTTGGGCGTGGGGCTAAAAATTGCAGTATAGACAGACAGCCTGGGCTCCAGCCGAGGCCCCGAGACCCACCCCACTCACCAGGTCTCAGAGCCTGGGCTCCAGCCCGAGCCCACACATCTTCCTTGCAATTTTTAGCCCTGCAGCCTGAGCCCCATGATCCCAAGTCAGCTGACCTGGGCCAGCCATGCCACAGGTCTTCCATTGCAGTGTAGACAAACCATGGCAGGTTCTGTGGAGGAGTCAGAAAGAACCAGGCTTTTCCAGATCCAAGGAATGGTAAGCCTGAGAAAGGGCCAGAGATGTGTGTACTCTGATTTATTGCTTTTAAGATACGTTTTCTCTGAAATGCTTTTGTTCTAAGTCAATAATATTTTGCTCGAAGGAGGCAGCTGGATCACAACAGTTCGATTCAACCCGAACCATTTTTTTTTTCTAAATTGCCAGCCAACCTAAGGGGGGGGGGGGAATCAATTATTCACCCAGCTCTGCATATATGAGTATTAAGTCTGCTGACTGGGAAAGCGAGGAAGAGCTTAAAAGAATACACTGGAAAATTGATGACAGATTTGGATTTCAAGCAGCTTGTTCAAACTGAACAAGGACTTTCCTTTCCTAAAAAGCAAGTGGTCTCACTTAGCTCATTACTTAATGAATCAGGCAAAGATGCTGCACCTCATTCATCAGCAGGTGATGCTAAGGACGTGATCTTGGATTTCAAAGCGAGGGCTGATGGAGTGTTCGTTCTCATTCCTTTCGCCCTTATTGAGAGGGACTGGATTATGGATTTGGCTGGGAAGAAGAGAGATTTGTTATCAAAGTCCATGGATATTTTTCCAGACCGATGTTGAACTACTGAGAGCAAGACAGACATTTGTTTCTCTAAGGAAATACTTGAGGCCAGGCTGGCTTCAATGGAGTTACTCAGATTTGTACCAGCTGAAGAGCTGGCCCTTCGAGTCTCAGGCCTAGATCCTTAAAGGCATTTAGGTGCCTAACTCCCATTGCAATAAACGGCAATTGGACACCTCAGTACCTTTGAGGATCTGGACCTCAGTGCTGTGGCTACTGTTCTTGACCATGCCAAATTAAGGATGACCTACATAAATGGGGCTAAACATATATTTGTGACTTTGATGCGACATCCTTTCCAAGAGCACACAGAGTAACCAGCACACATGGGGCCCCATGGAAGTGAAGGAAGGATGCTTTAATGATTAAGCACAGAACTAGGCTTCAGGAGATCTGCCTTCTCTGCCGCTATCTTCCTGCAACCACAGGCGTGTCATTTAACCTCTGTGTGCCTCAGCTTACCCCCTCTGAAGTGGGGGATAATGATTCCTACCTCGCAGAGGTATGAAAGTTAAGCCACTGATCCTTATCAAACACGTTAAGGTCCTGGGGTGGAAGATGCTATAGAAAGGATATTACTTATTATGGTTATTACAAAGACATCAATAGTGCTGCTGTTTAGCCCTCAACAGCAAATCATCATGGAATGCAATAAAGCTGCTGTATACAGTGTTGCAGCCGTGTGGGTCCCAGGATATTAGAGACACAAGGTAACCTGAAGACGAGCTCTGTGGAAACTCAAAAGCTTGTGTCTCTCACCAACAGAAGTTGGTCCAGTAGAAGATATCACCTCACCCACCTTGTCTCTGTAATAAAGCTGCTGGGAAGTCTTGCAAAGAAGACTCATGAGGTTTGTAAACAGTCAAGGTTGGTCCATTGATAGCAGACTGAGATTAGCCATCAAATCTAATATAGCCAAGAGGAGGGAGGAGGACACCAGCATGATTTCCTTTAGCAGGAAGGTAAGAGGACTTGTTGATTTTCCAGGCAAAGCTTAAAGGAATATCTAGACTGCTGCTGATTCTCAGCTCTCCTCCCAACCTTGATATTTTTGTCTGCTTACATGTGACTTGTGGCATTGAGTGCACAGAACCATTAAACACAAACCATCAGCTTTTAAAAAAGGAAAATGCACATGTGCACACACAAAACTAGAAAAGTTATCATTTTGCAAGGAATTGCAGGGGAGGGATTAGTACGTCTCTCTCTCCAAGGATGTATAAATAGGTGGATACAGACTTTCCTAATTCTTGCATTTCTACACCTTTCTAACTGCAGTTTTGCCCATTACTTAGCAGCAAACAGTTTGGAGAGAGTAATGAAAAGCATCATACCTCCATGGCCATCTTTTGGGCAGAGTTGTCACTTGAGTGCCCACTATGGTTGCTCAGAACTTCATAGCTACAGCAGGGATAGATTTCAGAACCTCTTGCTCCCAAAACACAGCTACTACCACTTGAACTTGGGTTGTAAACTCTTTGAGGCAGAGACTGTCTTTTTGTTCTGTGGATGTACAGTACCTAGCACACTAGGTCCTGGTCTAGATCTGTGGCTTCTAGGTGCTACTGCAATACAAACATTATACAAATAAAAATATGGGAATTTCTGCTGGCAGTATAGGACCTATGACACACAGTTGTATATTTCAATCCTGCTCAGAAGAGAGCTGTGATATAGAAAAAACGGTTTATTCAATTCTGTCTGTTCTGTCTGAAAATAGAGCTGAACATGTATGCATTATACACAAAAAGTCCTGTGGCACCTTACAGACTAATGGATGTATTGGAGCATAAGCTTTTGTGGGTGAATACATGCGTCTGACGAAGTGGGCATTCACCCACGAAAGCTTATGCTCCAATACATCTGTTAGTCTATAAGGGGCCACAGGACTCTTTGTAGCTTTTTACAGATCCAGACTAACACGTCTACCCCTCTGATACTTGGCATTATACACAGTGAGCAGTGAAGCTTGGCGTTCTGCTATGCGGTGATGTAAAATGAGACCACAACGTATAATACGATGCACTGTATCTCTGTTGTCTTGATTTATGTGTTGTGCAGTATAAACCACTAAGAAAATTAGCAATTTATAATAGTTCACACACCTGTTATTGTGTTGAATCATTTCATACTCTCCAAGCCAAGGTGTGGTAATTATTTTCTCCCCCTCCTACTTGTCCTGTTTAACTTATTCCTAAAATTTATCTCTAAAGTGTGGCCTTTGATGGGTGGCTGCTTCATTGTGTTTATCTTCTTTTTATC